GGCAGCAACTCGCTCACACCGTTTACAGTGGGGATGGGGAGCTGCTGACGTCAACTGGGGCTATAGTCGGACGGTGAAAGGAATACTTTGAGGAGCTCCTCAATCCCACCTACGCACATTTCGAGGAGGAACCAGAGCCGGGAGACCAGGGGATGGACTGTCCAATCTCAGGGGCAGAAGTTGCTGAGGTAGTCAAACAACTACACAGGGGCGGAGCCGGGGACGGATGAGATTCGTCCTGAGTATCTCAAGACTATTGATGTTGTAGGGCTGTCGTGGTTGACACGTCTCTGCAACGTTGCGTGGTCATCGGGGGCAGTTCCTGTGGAGTGGCAGACCGGGGTGGTGGTCCCCGTCTTTAAGAAGGGTGACCTGAGGGTGTGTTCCAACTATAGGGGGATCACACTCCACAGCCTCCCTGGAAAGGTCTACTCCAAGGTACTGGAGAGGAGGCTCCGATCGATAGTTGAATCTCAGATTGAGGAGGAGCAATGTGGTTTTCGTCCTGGCCGTGGAACTCTGTGGACCAGCTCTATACCCTTGCAAGGGTGATGGAGAGGGCATGGGAGTTTGCCCAACCAATCCACATGTGTTTTGTGGATTTGGAGAAGGCTTATGACCGTGTCCCCAGGGGCACCCTGTGGGGGACGCTCCAGGAGTATGGGGTGGGTGGCTTTCTGTTAAGGGCAATTCATTCCATTTACCAGAGGAGCATGAGTTTGGTCCGCATAGCCGGTAGTAAGTCGGACCTGTAAGTTGGACTCCGCCAGGGCTGCCCTTTGTCATCGGTTCTGTCCATTACCTTTATGGACAGACTTTCTAGGCGCAGCTGTGGTGTGGAGTGTGTCGAGTTTGGTGGCAGGAGAATCTTGTCTGCTTTTTGCGGATGATGTGGTCCTTCTAGCTTCATCCAGCTCTGACCTTCAGCTCTTGCTGGGTAGGTTCGCGGCCGAGTGTGAAGCGGCTGAGATGAGGATCAGCACCTCCAAATCTGAGACCATGGTTCTTGACCGGAAAAGGGTGGCTTGCCAACTCTGGGTCGGGGGAGAGGTCCTACCTCAAGTTGAGGAGTTTAAGTATCTCGGGGTCTCGTTCACAAGTGAGGGTAGGAGGGATCGGGAGATCGACAGGCGGATTGGTTTGGCGTCTGCAGTGATGCGGACGCTGAGCCGATCTGTCGTGGTGAAGAGAGAGCTGAGCCAGAAAGCCGTGCTCTTGATTTACCGGTCGATCTACGTCCCAATCCTCACCTATGGTCATGAGCTTTGGGTAATGACCGAAAGAACGAGATTGCGGATACAAGCGGCCGAAATGAGTTTCCTCCGTAGGGTGGCCGGGCTCAGCCTTAGAGATAGGGCGAGGAGCTTGGACATTTGGGAGGGACTCGGAGTAGAACCGCTGCTCCTCCGGATCGAAAGGAGTCAGTTGAGGTGGTTTGGGCATCTGGTCAGGATGCCTCCTGGACGCCTCCCTGGGGAGGTGTTTCGGGCATGTCCTGCCTGCAGGAGGCCCCCGGGTCGACCCAGGACACGTTGGAGAGGTTACATCTCCAATCTGGTCCGGGAACGCCTTGGGGTCCTGCCGGAGGAGCTGGTGGAGGTGGCCTGGGAGAGGACGGTCTGGAGCTCCATAGTTGGGATTCTGCCCCCGCGACCCGGACCTGGATAAGCGGAGGAAGACAACGATGATGACGACTGACCACTTATCTGTGTTCAGTCTGTATGATTGTAATTTTAAGAAAACTAATGATGCTACAGCAAAAGTTTATAAACGAATAATCACAGAGGAAAAAATCCTTGCCTTAAACACTAGTTTAGCACTCCAAGATGGGACTCCCACGTACAGAGCACCAAATGTGGACAGTGCTTATTGTAGTTTTTTAGAAATCTTCACTTCCTTACATAATAAACACTGCCCGATGAAAGAATATTTTATAAAGGAAAATCATAAGAATAGCCCCTGGATTTCAAAAGGAATACTTAATGCCTGTAAAAAGAAAAATAATCTTTACAAATTGTTTGTCAGGGTAAAAACAACAGAAGTCGAGCAAAAACATAAGAAGTACAAGAATAAATTTACTGATATCATACGAACAAGTAAAAGGTTATATTATCAAAAAAACTGTGTGAAAATAAAAACAATATGAAGGAAACTTGGAACATTTTGAATAACCTACTTAAACACGGATCTTCTAAGTTGACATATCCTGATCACTTTATTGATGAACACGGTGACGAATATAATATGAGAAATGTTGTAAATAAGTTCAACAATTATTTAGCAAATGTTAGTTCTAAGTTGGCGGCTGATAATCCAGATAATGATGTTTAGAAATTGCAACACAATGTCTGAACAGAAAATAAGTATTAATGGTATCCAAATTGAAATAGTAAATGAAACTTAGTTTTTGGGAGTAAAAATTGATAGTAAATTGTCATGGAAACCCCATGTTAGACACATAAAGACAAAAATCTCCAAAAGCCTCTCAATTATAAACAAAGCAAAACTATACCTTGATGGAAACGCACTCCGTATTTTATACTGCACCTTGGTACTCCCATACCTTACGTATTGTGTTGAAGTGTGGGGTAATACTTACCAGAACACATTACATCCTTTGATCATATTACAGAAAAGCAGTGCGGATCATCCACAAGGCTGGTTTTTTGGAACATACCTATAATTTATTTACACAGTCAAAGCTGCTAAAATTTGCTGATCTCGTAAAATATAATACATTAATAGTTCTATATAAAGCATTCAATAAACTATTACCATCTAACCTACAATGACTTTCTATAACTCCAGAGCCAGTTTATACCTTGAGAGGATTTGGAGATTTTTCATTGCCAAGAGCCCAAACCACTCGGAAATGTTTGTGTGTGTGTGTGTGTGTGTGTGTGTGTGTGTGTGTGTGTGTGTGTGTGTGTGTGTGTGTGTGTGTGTGTGTGTGTGTGTGTGTGTGTGTGTGTGTGTGTGTGTGTGTGTGTGTTATGTAAACATCAGGTCTGGTCAAAATGTAGAGATGAGGGTCTTTAAATTAATCTGTCATTTTACTCTGTCTCAAAGCTTAAACATGTGCTTACGGTTCCTTACAATTGTTGCCATATTGTCTGTTAAAATTGTTGGTATTTGTCTTTTACCATTGTTGATATGAATTGTGGTCAACGGTAAAATTGTATAATGTAAAAATGTAAATTGTAAATTACCTGTTGCCTGTGGTAACGCTATCATGCTATAAAAATGTAAAAAGAAATAGTTAAAGTAATAGCAAAACTCTTATTTGTTTTTTGACTGTATGGGGATTTGGGGGTGGGATTATATGTTTTCTTCTTCCCACTCCCTTTCGGGCAGAATAATATGGCCATGTATGTTTATTCCTTTGTATAATATGATTATATTTACCTTGTTTACTTAAATGTAACATTACCTGAAATAAAAAGAAAAATGAAATGAATGAATGAAAAAATTAACCCTTCAAAAGGTAATTTTAGCACATGCTGGCTCAAGAAAATAATTTTTTCAAAGTTGCATAGTATGCCTTTTATAGTCACCCACTCCAGCAGTTACTTTCTAAAGAAGGAAAGACCTTCAGAAACTCGTCCCTGGTCATAACTCCAAAGGAGGTGTTGTAGCATTGTGTAGGCCTCCTTCTACTGTTGGTTCTACTGGTGCTGATGGTCCTACGGGTGCCACTGCTTGTGCTCACATTGGTGGTCTAACAGGTGATCTTTCTAGTAATCATTCTTGTGGTGCTGCTGGTGTCTACTTCTGGCCCGACAGGATTCCTGCTGTTGATCTTACTAGTGAATCTTCTGGTTGTCCTAATGGGGGTTTGACATTGTCAGGTCCCACCCTTTTCATATCTGTACTCGTAACTCTGTTCACATAATTTTCTGTCCTGTATCATATGAGAACACCCTTCTTTTAGGGCAGCAGTAGCTCAGGAGGTATAGCAGGTCGTCCAGTCATTGGAAGATTGTAGGTGTGATCCAGGCTCCCAACAGAGAATGCTGTTGTTGTGTCCTTGGGCAAGACACCTAACCCGCCTTGCCTGTTGGTGATGGTCAGAGGGACCGGTGGTGCCAGTATTTGGCAATCTCGCTTCAGTCAGTGCACCCCAGGGCAGCTGTGGCTACACTGTAGCTCATCATCGCCATCATGTGAATATGTGTTATGTGAATGGTTGCATTGTGAAGTGCCTTGGGGGGTTACCCTAAGAAGGTGCTTTACAAATACAGGTCATTTATTATTATTTTACTCTATTGGTCTTAATAAAGGTGAGTCATATTCTCAGTCCTTTAATGATGACTTGTTCTTTCACTCCTACAACTGTAGATTTCCACTTTTGAGTTAGTCGTTACTTTGTGCCATGCAACATGTGGATCTGAAACTGAGATTCCTCTCTCTTTTGAAGTGGGCGGTCACGGCACAACCCCAACAGCCACTGGCTACTGACTGTTTGAATCAAATTCTTCAGTGTAGCTTATTTCAGTGAGTTTATTGGCACCAAGGTTAAAGTCAACAGATCAAACTGAACTTTCAAAATAAAAGCACATGAATTAGAATACAATAAAAGAAATTACAAAAGAATTAAATATGAAAGGAAAGTGGTAGAGCAGTGTCAGCTTAAATCCTAAGGAACTGAAAAACGCTTTAGAAACATTTAGTTCTGTGTTGCTTCATTTTTCTCTGAAAAATATTTCTTTGATGTAACTTAAAAAAAGTATAAACATAATGGTTGTCTTCATGATAACAACCTGAACTTACTCTTTCTGCTGCAGCAAGTATTAGAAGCTAAGTCTCGACATAAACTGTTGAAATTATTTAAAGTTTGATTAAAGAATAAAGGCAGTTTTTGTTATTGTCTGTAGGTTTGTTTTGAGTAAATCTCTCATTATGTAAAGGCATGTGTTGTATTTACTGCAACAGGAAACAGATCTTTCACAATAAGTGTAACAGCAGTTCTCAGTGCTGTTCCCGTGTTTGTGTTTTGGCAGCAATCGAACAGAGTATCGAGCAGGAGGAGGGTCTTAACAGATCATCAGCGGACCTTAGGATCCGTAAGACACAGGTGAGCCAAGTCCAGGTGAAGGACAAACTGAGCATCTTTACAAACCTTTCAAGTCAACTAATCAGACACTGAAGCTAATCGGATCGTTTGTGTTTAAATTTTCATTTGAGTTAAATTCAGAAACAGTTCTGGTGTGATGCCTGTTGACCCTTCCTGGATCAATAACAGGATTTTGCATCTGAACATTTTTACCTTTTCTTTCGGCTATTTACTGCTGTTTGTCTTGTCTAAGCATCAGCTAATTATCTGCAGTTGAAAGCATTCACACTGCAGTGTCCTGCTCTGTGATTGGCTGTAGCTTATTTCAGCTGTGCGCTTACTGCTGCCACTTGATGGACAGAAGAAGAGCTGCAGCAGCTTGCACAACCACAGAGATGTGTGCAGAAATAACACCTCTACACACACACATTAACACACACACACACACACACACACACACACACAGAGAGAGAGAGAGAGACTAAATAAGAAATTATTTGGTTAATACTAAATAATGAATATGAATTGCTAAAGCCTCATTTCAACATGATAACTAGATATGATTCATGGTGGTGTGGTATTGGTTCCCAGTTAAACCAGTTTACACACACACAGTGAACACACACACATCTTTCTTCTTGCAGCACTCAACGCTGTCACGTAAGTTTGTGGAGGTGATGACTGAGTACAACACCACGCAGTCCAAGTACCGCGACCGCTGCAAGGACCGCATCCAGAGACAGCTGGAGATCAGTGAGTACATAAAAGAACAATAACAGCAGTACAAAAGCCACCACAACCTATTACACAAGACTTCTAAACTAGGAAACTGAAATGATGTTTGGTCTGTCTTTTTACTATCACATGTAAAAGAAATTAATTAACAGAGTAACAGACATGTAACCATCAGAAGAGAACATGTCCTGCTGTGGTCACTTGACCCGAAGGTGTTCCCATCTCTAAGTGAATTTTCTGTTTCTGTGTGTTCTGTCTGTAGCTGGAAGAACCACCACCAACGAGGAGCTGGAAGACATGTTGGAGAGTGGCAAACTGGCCATCTTCACTGATGATGTAAGCAGCTCACCTGAGCCCATCTGTTGCTATGGGTTACAGGCTCCATTCTGCATTCTGACCATAGTCTGGTGCAGCGTTCAGAATGGTGCTCAAGGTGTGCTGAAACATGCAGTGAATACGGCCTTTGTCACATTACAGGGAGAAGGGGGTGGGGTGCTTTTATTTTGAAGGAGTACCCTCAGATTGTTGCCTTCTCCTTCAAATTAAAAGCTTTTCCACATACAGAAAACAGTGGTATGTGACAAAACACTGAGCAGTAAATGAAAACTAAGCTCCTCTGATTCATCAGCCAATATGAGATGCCCCAGTGAGCAGACCAATGAGAGGGGCTCAGGTTACTTGCATGTACAGTAGTACCTGAGCAGGTAAGTCAGTCTAGTCTTTTTCTGGCCCAGTCTACAATGCAACAGAGAGGACAAACTATGATCAAATGTTTGATTTCTAATTTCTTTTTCTGAGTTTTTATTTTTGTGCATTTGAAAAAGAAAAATATTATTTTATTTTGAAAAATCTGACACGATGAACCTCTGTTGGGGTCTATAAATACTGTTAAAAAGATGAAACATATTGTACTTGAACTTTTGTTTCACTTCTCATGAGGAGGATTTTTTTAAAGAGTTTTTCTTCAAACGTCTCCCTTCAGATCAAAATGGATTCTCAGATGACCAAACAGGCTCTGAACGAGATCGAGACCCGGCACACCGAGATCATCAAGCTGGAAAACAGCATCCGTGAGCTCCATGACATGTTCGTGGACATGGCCATGCTGGTGGAGAGCCAGGTGGGTCACATGACCTCGTGGGAGTGGGGCGGGGTCACAAGAAATGTTGAGGTCTGTTTGTAGTGGAGGATTAATGCTGTTGTGTGCCTTAGGGTGAGATGATTGACAGAATTGAGTACAACGTAGAGCACTCTGTGGACTATGTGGAGCGAGCCGTCTCCGACACCAAGAAGGCCGTAAAATACCAGAGCCAGGCCCGCAAGGTGAGACCTGTTGTCAAGGACAGAGTTGATGATGTCACTCTAGTTTTCATCTGTCTAAAATCTTCAAATCTCTTATAAACCAACGTTTTTTTGTTTTACCAAGACAAAATTTTGAGTACAAATACGAATCATACATTAATCTTTTGGTATTTTAGTCTTCTCCCACCTGCTCTGTCTATCTCTGCTGTAGGACTCAAATCCCCTCTGAGCCCAGAGAGGGAACACCCAAACCTTCCTAGACTCCATTGATAACTGATCTCTCTCTATTCTCTGTCAAACAGGAAGGTGAAGGGTGTTTAATAATACTAAATAATACTAATACGTAATACTAAGTGCATTATTAAGCATTAATAAACTATTTAATAAAGTATTAACTGCTTAACCATATTGTGTCATGCATTACTAAGCAGATACACACACAACCCCATCCCTTTGTCCTAACTTAATGGACACTTAACAGTTAACAATACTGGAAAAATTAATTAGGGCACCCTTTGTTTATTAATGCTTAATAATGTACTAAATAATGTTAATAAAGGAACCGTTTTCACTCATCATATCTCCTCTGTAAAACCCAGTAGAAAATCAGGGAGTTTGACAGGTGGATGGTTTCCATGGTGACCACAATGAGCTGTTAGTGGTTGCCTTGGTGGTGTTACCACGGTGACTGTAATGAGCCACTATCATCAGCTTTAACATTTTAGTTGATAGTGGATACCGTTTACGCATCAGACCTAAACATTTTGTCTCAGCTCATTATTACAGAGTTAACGTTGGGACTCTTCAAAGATTCTTCTGTAACCTGTTATTTAGATGTTGTTTCAAACATTTCTCATTTCTGTTGCCCTGCAGAAGAAGATTATGATCATCATCTGCTGCATCATCCTCGGCGTGGTCCTGGCATCGACCATCGGTGGCACGCTGGGCTTCTAAAGACGTCCCCCTATCTGCTGCCATGACAACCGACGCCGACCAACCGACAGCCAGCAGAGAAAAGGAACAGCAATGACAAACACAAAAACTTGAAACACAAATGCAAGACAGAAAACCAATCAACTAGGAAGAAATAATTTAATCACAGATCAGAAGAATCACCACGGGTTTGGGTGGGGTACAGAAAACAAAGACATCACATTATAGCTGACCTATCTACACAACGTATAAAGGAGAGGGCACAAATATTTATTACCGATGTACATGTAAATGTATTAAACATATGAAGCAAAAGAAGGGTTGGCTACCTGTAAAAACAACAATCGATTGCATTTGCTTGTTTGTTTTTCTCTTAGTATTTTTTTTTTAACTTTTTTGTTTGTTTTATGTTTGTGGGTCTCTGAGGATAGTGCCAGCTGCTGGGTGGGAGCGCTCCGGGATGAATCAGTTGTTCAAGTCCTCACGTTCACTTCTGGAAACAAAAAAACCTTTACTGTAGAAAAAACCAAACCAAAACATTTTTAAGAGAGATAAAAGGTCAGCCCGCGGTTCTGTTCTGAAACATCACGCCTGACGTCTCAATAGTCAATCTCTCCTGTCTTTCACCGTGGTCAGCCTATTGATTCACCCAATCAGAGAGCAAGAGGAGGGCGGGCCAATGGTCATCTGACTAATCCGACTGGCCATCAGCAGAAAGGGTAGGGTTTGACTCACTTACGGGTTGATGGAGTGTTAAAAGTGTTAAAGGGGGGTGGGAGGAGCTAATCTATGCATTAAGATAAAAGGAAGGCGATTTGGACCACCTACCTGTAACAAGTTAACCAATGAGAATCAGGGATTAGCCTCATCACTGGTTGCTGTGGAAACAGAGGTCATCCTCAGGCTTCACAGCTGGAAGGTTCAACAGAAGCAGAGAGAACCCGTTAGAAGGTGGAAGCAGCGATCCGGTTTCTGACGGGAGCTTCTGATGCTTTGTGTTGCGCTGCTGCAGTGGTGATGTGTGACTCTGTATCAGCCCGATGTTGTGGTTGTGTCTCCGCAGACCTCTCTCTCTCTCTCTGTGTGTGTGTGTGTGTGTGTGTGTGTGTGTGTGTGTGTGTGTGTGTGTGTGTGTGTGTGTGTGTGTGTGTGTGTGTCACATAGATAAGGTGAAGGAGTGTTCAAGGCCTGTTTCAGGGATCTATATCTGCACTCAGCGTTAAAGTCTGCTCATTTATGAACCAGTGTAGTAGGCGCCTAAATCTGGTTTCCTGAAGAGTCCCACATCCTTTTTTTTCCAGTTCTTTAAAAAGGAAGCTTTCAGCAAATTGTTGGTGGGACCATAGTCAAAGAAATTACATTTACCCCGAGTTTAGTGGTTAGCTTTAAATGATCGTGAGATCAGTAAGCGTGTGTCTAAGCGCTGGAGCAACACTAGCGTCACACTGTCTGATCTCCTCTGGAAGGTGAAGAACACACCTTCACATGATGAACGCTTGTTTGTGGACACACAACTGCCCCATCACACGACTTCATGCGTTAGCATTAGGCCTAGCTGCTTTGCATGCTGTAGCATTAGCTCGTGTTTTTGCAGCTTGAGTAGAAGCTTGTTGACAATATTATCACCTGTATTCTGATATTTTAACCTGAAAATCATCGTAAGTGAGTCTAGTCTGGTGTTTGGAAAAAGGTGTCTGAACGTTTAAGAAAAAGCTAGTGGTCTGTTGCTAGCTAGATAGCTAAAACACAATGAAAAGGAGAATTCTAGTTTTACAAATTTACAGACATTAAAATTAAGAATGTCCTTTAAAACTAATTTACAAGATTGTGTCAGCATTAGGTCATATTTGTGACTATGAGAATGGAACGCACTCGTCGGACACATAATGCTAAATTAAAAGCTAGCGTACTATTATCAGCAAGGCCATCTGGGACAGAAGACACATGTTACATTTCAGAATGTTCTAGGTTGTAGATGCATGTTTTGTTTTGATGTTGGTGACGTGATGTTTTAACAGAATGTGTGCGCTGCCCCAAACTGGACCCCAGGTGGTCATGTGACCGGATGGCGCTGTCTCGCAGCAGTGTGGAGGTTGTAATGCAGGAGCCTTTAAATAAAAACTAGAACAGCCAATAATTTCAGGTGAAACAACTGTAGGTTTAGTAAAACCCGTTTAAAGGAAGCTAAATCAAGTGGGAAGTAGTCCTGACTGAGCTACTGAATGAAAACTAACTGGTGAAGGTTACGAAACTTAAAACTTTATCTTTACTTAATGCTGGAAAGGTTTGAGTTCTACAATGAAAACCTGCTGCAGACACAAAACCAAGCAGCGCATTTCAAAGCTGTTCCACATAAATAAACGCCTGAGAAGGTCAATCCTCAGGTCTTTATCTTTTCTTTACTTGTCCCATAACCAGGTAACGGTTTTAAGGTGGAATACGCTAAGGCTCTGTGATACAGAAGTGATGACCATCTGTTGAGGCCTATGCTGAAATAAATACCACCTTAAGCACACTCAGCACCTAGAGCAATAAGTTTAGTTTGTTAGAGATTAGGTGATAGTTGGGTGTATTTGGTAGGATGTATCTGCAACATAGAGGCTTTAGATATTCTCAGAGGTGATTTAGCTTCAGGTTTGGAGAGTCTTAGACTTGTTTTTATTTTTTGGCTTCCTAAAAGAAAAATGCTGTGTTCACCAACGTTTCCCACCCAGAGCCCGTCTCAGCAGCAAAACCCAAAACCATTTCTGACAGTTAGGCCATTTTTGTGTTGTTGGATTCTGTCATAGGTTAAATCCACTAGGTCATTTATCTGAGTTGCCCCAGATGCCTGATCTGATTTCCAAAGTTTGTCAGCGTGATGCTCCGGTTGGTCCGGTCAGAATCAGCTGTCCGGCTCAGCACCACGCTCTCAGCGATTGTCTAGGATGCGTCGTGGTATCGTGTTGGTGGTGGATGCAGATCAGCAGTGAGAGGATGTCGTTGTAGCACCAGCCATGTGTTTTCTCTGTTTCTCTTCCTTCATCATTAATGGAATGGCTCATCTGAGTGTTCAAACCCGTCCTCTGGTCCCGTCTTGTAGTGGTTAGGTTGTATAAAAGACTATGATGATGAAGGTCGAGGGTCAAACCTCGCCCATCCCGCTGTGTGTAAAAATTATGATATTATTAGAAAAGGCATGCAAATGCGTTGTGGAGTTTGCATGACGGTGTTTTTTGTACCCCACCCTCCTTACTGTGCACTTTACCATCGGACCTGTTTAATTAGCACATTAGCTCCTAGCTACAACTTTACCCCGCGCGTTTGTGTGAACACATGGGTACGTGTGTGTGTTTTTTTATGTGAACTGCTGCCCTTTGACCTCTTGTCGCATTTCCTCCATCAGAACTGCTTGTTTCTGTTTATGAACGATGAGTCCGGAGCTGTGGGATGATCTCCCACCACGCCTCCGCTGGCCTTGTGTATGTATGTGTGTGTGTGTGCGTGTCTGTGTGTGTGTGCGTGCATGTGTGTGTGTTGGCAGCACAAGTTTGTTCAGATGTGCAAAGCATTGGTTTGCAAGATTTCACAAACATCTGACAAGTTCTGATCAGACCTGTTAAGGTACGCCAAGATCCATTTGTTTGTTTTTATTCAGACCAAAGGGTTTCACCTCCCGTCACGTTCTCAAAACGTTTGCCACTAAAATCAAAGAGCACAACGCAAGTTGAGTTTACACTGAGACCTTCATCACAGAGCCCTGCCCCTTCCCCACCCACCATCAGCCTCACCGCATGTTGGTCTGTCGATCAGCTGATCCTCATCAGAACAAAGTCTGCCTCCGGCCCAGTTTTACCTGTAGTCGTTAGGTTGATCACCTCCTCTGTTCCGAGGTTCCTTCTGAGACGACGGTGGTGCTTTTCTTAGATTTATTAACCGCGGTTATTCTTGGTATTTTGGTGTTTGTTTTTCTTGTACAGCTTGTTAATTAGTCGTGTTTCAGGATCAATGCTCCTCTGCAGGTTTCTGTTTGTTTGTTTGTTTGTTTATAGTCTGAACCAGATAAAATTATTTGGGGTTATATTTTGACTTTTAGATTTTTTCTCCAGCTGATTTATTGCTTTAAAAGTCTTTTAAATCTATTCAAACAACAGGAAACCTGTTCAGTTGAAGACCAGCTTCCTGTTGTTTGCTGTCTGAAAGCTGCTGCCTGATGAAGGACAAGTCAGCAGAAGGCACATCTGGATCTTTTTTATGTGAGCTGAAACTCTGAAACATTCATGAGAAGCTGCAGATGTTTCCCAGATTTTTGTTTGTTTGTTTGTTTGTTTTGGGGGGTGCTTGTAAACATTATTGCTTCAGACTCTTTTCTGAAACATATTAGAGAATACAAATCACATACACATGGTAATTATTAAGGATCAAGCTTCTTCTTTGAGTTTTAACAGAAAGTTCACAAATTATAACCCATTTTCTTCAGTTTCAGGTCAGTTGTTAAATTCTTACAAATCTGCTGAGAATAAGATGTCAAATCCAGATGTTTTGCCAACAAAGAAACATCTGGACTTGATTGATCCACACAAGATTCTGTAACTTGTCTGTCACTGCGCAGCAGCTTCCATAAAGTTGTGACAGTCCAATAAAGTTTTACGTGAATCAACAATCAGCTGATTCACAATTCATTGAAGACAAATTCTGGTGTTTAGATCTTGCTTTGTCTGTTGGCTGATGCTCGAAAACCAGCGGAGCGCATTCTCCTGCGTGATGAATCAATATTTAATCCAGAATACATAGATATATAAATGTAAATCCTACACAACATACTGCTTTGTAAACCCGTCTGAACCGTCCTGTAGGTTCTGTACAGTTTCGGTCCGAGCGGGACACGAACAGCAGGAACAGAATCACGCAGAGAGTGGATGGGTGCCACTCAGAGACTCCAAAGATTGACTTTAGCTGTTAGCAGAAACGCAGTGTGTTGTTTTGAACACAACACGATGCGTTCAGGTTAGTCATATTTTCACTCATCGGCTGTTGGTTTGAGTCTTCCTGAGAGAATTTACAGAAACCAAAACCTGTTCCAGTCCCGCTCCGGACAACCACATTAAAACGTTTATTTGTGTTTGTTTGTTTGTTTGTTTGTTGCAGGAAAAGCTGCGACTCGTTCTGAATTGTTGATGCTCTATTTGAACGTTACTCTTTTCATCAAACAAGACAGTATTTGGTTTATATCAGTGTTTTATTTGCCTAGTGGGAGAAGTTAGGGGAGTGGTCACATAATAGACCACACCCACATAATCCCTACCATAATAAGTAAAGAATACACCTAGCATTATTATTATTACTATTATTATTATTATTGTTGTTGTTATTACTATTATAACCATAAATGAGGAATTAAATGCAGTCAAACATTGGCAAAAACCCAGAAGAACGAACAGCTTCACACAACGTGATGAACTGAAAACATCAAAGGGAGGTTGCAAAAATTCTATAATAGCAATGATTTAAAGACGTACAAAAGGAGTTTATGTTCTCATAAAAAAATAGTAGTAATATTGAATATTGAATGCTCGCAATTTTGTCAAACTGAAACTGGAACTTTGTGTTATGTAATTATTGTAAATAAGTTCAAAGAGAGAAAAATGACTTGCATGTCTATGTATAAATCTACTGAGATATCTATTCCTGTCAAAGTTGAAGAGCAGGTTGATCTCTGTCCTATTTTGCCACTTTAGTCCCCCTGACGTCACCTTGTCCTTAGCCCTGCCGTCTCTGGTCCTGGTATTCTGGCTGCGCGGCTGAAAGACAACAGCAGAGAGACAGAAACCCAAACCTTCCGGTGCCACCAGGCTCAGTTCTGATCACGTATTCATGCCCTGCAGCAGGAAGAATACAGAACGCGTTTTTAGTGGCAGAACTTTCACAGGTGTCAGCAGCATGATTACAACCACACCTCCATCCACAGCTCCAGCTCCAGAGGCCCCACCCACTGGCTCTTCTGATAAAAGTGCTTCCCTCCATATTAGGAAACCCTGCCTCCGGGGCTACAGAAGCAACACCCCTAACTACCTGGGAAGTCCCATTAGTTATCACGAACTCTCTTTGTCTCTCAGCCATTAACAAACAACTTCAACAGAACCCTTTTACTGCTCTTCCCCCAGTATTTAGTCTGCACCCAACCCTCTAAAACGGGTTTCTCTACCAGGTCACAGTCATATCCAAATCTAGAATATTTCAGTTAGCCACACCCCATGGTGCTGCTTCTACCACCCATTTTAGAGCCAAAGCACACATCCATTGATGCGACACATGTCTGGAACTTGTCCTAAAAATGGGCTTTGTGTTGACATCACCCAGACCTCCTCTTCAGGACTTTAGGTCCAGTTTTATATCCCAAGTTTCAGCAAGCAGTTGGTCCTCTTGATGTACCTCAGAACATCATCAGTCTTCCTCCTTCGTGGCGGGGCCATTGTTTTGTTCCTTGCAATTTTCCTGACAGAGATCTGAGCTCTAAAGCCTCAAAAGGCAGAAGAGAAAACTGGATCTGAAAATTCCTGTTTCAGAAACTCTGGAGAGCCCATTTATTCACTGGAGTTCATGGCTTTGATGAAGGTGGTTCTGTCTGAGTTGTCACCTTATTTAAGGCCCAATCTCTACCCTTGAGCTGGCCAATCAAAACACATGCAATATTCTGAGAAACAAGGGCTGATCTAAAGAGGTGACGGGCCAAGGGCAAGTGATCATTCCTTGAGGAACAGAACCAGGAATTCTGGAGAGTATGTTTTGAGGCAGACAGATGAGAGGAACTGGCAAATAGACATGTGGAAACCAGCAGACAGACGGGTGGAAACCAGCAGACGGATGGGACAATTGTCAAGCGGTGACGTCAGACAAACATTAAAAATGCAAAAACAGGACAGCAGCGTTGCTCTTCACATGCAACTTTGACTGGAAATGCAACTTGTGTCCCGTTTTTTTTGTGTGTGTATGTGTGCGTAGCGTAATGTAAAAGCGATCTGCCCCCCCTCCCCCTCCCAGTCTCACCCCTCCTCCCCCTCTCTCGTACTGCTGTTGGCTGTTCTGTTTAGTTCATGTGACGTGCCAGTACCCCCCCCCCCCCCCCCCATTTACCTCCCTCACCCCTCCTCCTCCTCTTTCTCTCTCCCTTCTTCCTCAGCCTCCCCCTTTCTCTTCATGGATCTTTAAGATGACAACTCTATGCAGATGCTGTCTTTTATAAGTGTGTCAAATTTTAATTTAAAATAAAAAAAACCCTGACAGACATATTGAAATGAAACAAAAAAATTAATAAAGAAAAGGATTGTTGAGTGTACCTTTTGAGTTCTTTAATGTCTCACACTGGTTTAATCTTCTCCGATCCCTAATAAAGACAAGAGTGAACCAACGTCATCATGTCCACTTTCATCAGAATCAACTGCTGCTCTGTTGTTGTTCATTTATCCAACCAGGATCCTTCTAATAAACCTCCATGAAGACAGTCGAAATATCTAAAACTTTAATGGTTCCTTGGTGAATCCGATGTTTCATCACACAGCTCCTGGCTGTGGTCCATTAACCAGACCTAGCACTGGGACCAAACATGCTGGCTACTTCCAGTATGTGTTAGCCTCCTGGCACCTGAGCTTTTGTTTGAGATGCATTATTTGTCACTCAGTAATTTGGGTAAATGACTATATTAACATTCAATCAGTAAGCCGAAACAAAAACATTAGAAAAGTTAAAAATATATTCATCAAACGTTAGTGTGTGAAAAGATACATAAGATTTGAAATAAACAACGTAAGTGCAGGAAGCCAGTGTATCCTTGAGGATGCAGGGTCAGACCATCGACATATACATATATGGACAATGGGTTTCCATAGGCTCCAATAACACGTTTTTGAAGAAAAATGGGAGGTGGCCACCACCGCCATTTTGACCGTGTCACAGGTTCTGTCAAGCCCAGACAATTCCATAAAAGGGAAGAGAGGTGGAGCTGAGGGTGGGGCTGTAAGGCTGGGATCAATTGACGACACCCGGCCGAACTAGCTACAAGCTAACCTGAAGCTAACCCAAAGCTTACGCGGAGGTGGGAGCTAAGCTAACGGAGGTAGCAACCTAGCTACAACCGGAGTTAACTGTGCACAACACCAGAGCTTCTGAGTCAGAGGTACGCCGGGCTGACCGCTGGGTAAAACCGGGTGGAACTCAGAGGTCTCCCGAGAGCTCCACAAGCCAGCAGCCGCACAGCAGACAAGCACCGCTGCGATCTGAGATGCGCAGAGCTGCCGCTGGGGAGAAGCGGGTGGAAAACATCGGTCTCCCGAGAGCTCCACAAGCCGATAGTCGGAACCCATCTCCACCAACATGTTATGTTTCAACCCATTTTCTAAAGTGCAGCATTATGTTAAATGCACTGGGTTTTACCCTATTACATTTAAATTTCATGGTTAAACAGTACATGTTAAAATCTAAGCTCAGCTCGGCAGTGACCTAAAATACATAAATATAATTTTACTTACCGAAAAAAATGAAGTGGAGACTCCTTGGACGCTCTATTAGTGCAATTAATGCCACAGCAAGTCATTTTGTCCAACAATTGCACAAATAATATCCAAAAAGAACGCACAAACGCTACAACTAATGGTCTAAGTTGAGAGACTGAAACTGACCGAACAGTTTTCAGGCGAAACCGAGGCTCTACTGAGGCCTTTCCACGGAGCTAGCTCTGTGGTCACGTGGGTCTGATGCTCATTAATTAAACAGAATTTTAGGCTTTTAATACACTTAAACAGAAGAGTGAGAAAAAATTCACCCCCCTCAGAGTTGTCATGAGTGTAAACTAGATCATTTAAACCAAAAACATGTTCTGGTACCAGGCTGTAAACATGTTTATTTCTGCTGTGAAATTGGTATTTTTAACATGGGAGTCAATGAGGATTTGCTCGCTTCTGACACCAGCCCCTAGTGGATGAGGGTGGAACTGCAATTTATTTCACTTCCGCGTTGGACTCAATTTCTGTCCCGCATTGTGGGGGCTTGGGCCAGACTGATGGTTAAGCCCCGCCCTCTCCCTTTAAACCAATGAGATGTTTCACTGGGTTAACATTTTCCTGATTAAATCCATCTCAGATCATTTCCAGGTGTTAACTCCTGTTCATCCAAGTAGGATGTTCTAATGTTCATGTATCTGACATGTTTAGCTGGAATCAGTCATTAGGTGATTACAAACACCTGAACGGTGCAGATGAAAAGGGGGGACTGCCAGTCACACATTGTAATCAAATTTTGGTTTGAAAACGTTAAAAGGGACATATCAGAACTTTTAAATCGGCAATGGCAAATCTGCAAACCAAGCTTAAATCAGTGTCAACTCGTCCACCAGTCTCACAGGAAGAACATAGGAATCACACAATATATTTAAAAAAACATGAAAATTAATCCAAACGATCTCTACGTCATACAGACTATCAGCATTTAAGTGTAGTTTAAAGATGTTATTTACACTTTTAACACTACCGAATCGTCCTGTGACGTGTTTCCTGTTACTTTTGGGTGCAGCAGTCGCTACCATAGACTTAAACGCTAACTGGCGAACACGCGCTGGATGCCCTCTCCAATACAAAGAATAGGAGAGCCTTTGTGCTCAGGGGTACGGCGCCTGTGAAGACACGCGCAAGACCGGCAGGGCAGTGTCTCAGCTCAGGTCAGGGCAGAACCAGAAATTCTCCACAGTTCACCGTCCTTTGTTGTTGTTGTGGAGCAGCTGAGTACACCTCATGGAGTTTTGTTGTTATGAAGAACCAGAAAAGGATGGAATGTGGCATCAGAGACTTCTGAACACTCCTGCGTGTAAAAAGTGTAATTTTTCTTACTGTAACATGGATTGCTACAACAAAGGTATGACTGAGTTAATGCTTTTAACTTCAAGAAATTAGCTTTGTTTGTTTTTTATGCTGAATTTGCATATTACGCACGTTTTCAGAACAATTTTGCTCTTACTGGTCTGTTGGTGTGACATAAAAATGGTAACTTGGCATTCCCTGGTGGTGATATGTGGATAGCACATCTTAAATCAGCCCAGTTGTCACAACTGCAAATATCAGACTTAATTATTAGAATTAGGAGCGATGAGGCCATCTCTAATACATTCATAATGTAAACACTTTTCTAATTCGTGTTTCTGCTGAAAACCTTTTGTTTTTGACTAGAAATATGGTGAAATAATGACTAAATATCTATATTTTTGACACATTTTATTTAAACACATTAGAGACTAATGAGTAATTTTATTTAATTATTTCTGCCTTCTTTAATTTTTGCTGTTGATTTAAAAAACCAGGAATGTGACTCAAAATTACAAATTTTTAAAAGAAAAAAATATATATATTTTTTACAAATAAATCATCTTTCTTTTTAAACCACCAGTTTGTAAGGATGCAAATGGATGAAACATGTTAATAGTATACACAATTATTTTAAAAACTTTGTCATTCATATGCACCTTCCCATAACAGGTCATGCAAATCTTGGCCGGCATGCACTTTTCAGCATACTGGTTTAGTTGCACCACACCAAAAAATAAATTTCACCAGCCGCCACCGGTTTGAATAGTCACAGAACTCCCACCAGTTACCATACCTAGACCACGTCCCCCCAGATATGGGAACCATACTGCCACACAAAACTGGCAACCCAGACTAAATAAATATATTGTCTAAAATCTTTGCAAGGTAAGATTTTGGTCTAGTTCACTAGGCTAACCGTAAACAAGAAAACGCTAAGCCCCAGTTGCAGTTTTCTAGGTCTAAAGGTCTTTTGTCTTCCATGACTTCAAATGTTGATTTTCATTATGGAACCCTGGAAGTTTGTCCTAATTTTGAAGTGGTAGCAGCTGGCTGTTTCTCCATCTGTGATGAGCCACGAACCTCACACTAGTGTTCCGTTGCTAAATCGGCACACATGTAATGAGTAGGTCACGGGGGAACCGTGCGTTCTCGGTGTTGGCACCTGCACTTTGGAACCAGTTGCCTTTGGTGTTGCGTCAGACGCTTTTTTTTTTTTTGTCAAAGCATTCTAGGATTAGCAATTTTTACCAGGTTTCTTTGCCCCGGCCTCTTAATCTTTTTCAGGATTTTATTTTTTGTTTTTACTCCCCTCTTCATTTGTTTTTTGGTTTTACGATTGCTATATTTTATTTTGATGGTTTTATGTTTTTATTGTGTTGTGTTCCACACCTTGGGCGTCTGCATTGGTCACAGAAGGAGTTTTATAAATAAATAAATGAAATGAAAAATGAAATGAGTAGACCCAGGTAGGTGCAGAAGTGCAGCGGTTCGGTGAGACAACCAAATGGTCCAATCGTTTGTTTCGAACTGAGCATGTTACTGTCTGAGGTTTTTAGTCAAATACCAGAGAACTAGGGTTGTCACGATACTAAAATTTCAAACTCGATTCGATACTGGGGGGAAAAACTCGATAATCGATTTCGATACTATTTTAAAACACCAATTTATTGAACAAGTTTATTCAAAAATAACATTCCTCAATTTATATTGCAAAAATTAAATGTTAAGAATTAAGTGTGTTAAGTGCTTAAACCTTTCAAGTATCAGCATAAAACGTGCAAACAAAAACTGGCGAAAATTAACACTTTAAATCATGAATTGTCTCACTATATTTACACTATTTGCAGAGTGATGTTTTGCTGCTTAAACTCTGTTTAAGGTGCATTTTTGTCATAAGCTGTAATGCCATGTGTTTTGTTCTGTACTTTTGAACAACTCTGTTGGTCAATAAAGGGAGAAAACGAATTTCTCCACAGTAGGACAAAGGTACATCTACCGGTAATCTTAACAAAAACAGATTGGCGCACGGCAGTGACGTCATTAAAAGCGCCGGTTAGATTAGCCGCGGCTAGTCTGTTCACGCCTACAAATCCCAGACCCGCTCCAAACGAACAGGGGAATCACGTTAATGATTCCTAACAAAACCTTTTGACATGAAGATGTTTTGGTGCAGATAATGTCTTATTTCGAGGCTGCACCATGGGTGCCCGTCCGCACCCGTTATATGGATATACACTGATGGCGATTCGCCGATGGATCTAAATACCCCGGGGAATCCAAGTAGCACCAAAGTTGTCAGCGTGAGTAAACAAACGTACTGCATGCTAGAAATTAAGTCCGGGTTGCAATAAATGGGAGTTTCCTTTAAGCACATAAGCGTGAATATACAACTACGTGTCGGACTTGGTATGCTAATTAAGTTGGGCTGTGAAGCGCCTCCCAAATTCGCTGTTTATGTTTTTATTTATTTGGCAGACAAAACCTGGATCGGAGACAACTCGCGTGGGAAATTGTAATGTAGCCATGCGGCGTCTTCTTCTTCTGTTTGTCTGGGAGGCGGAGGCTGCTTTACGGCATCTGGCTGTCGTGCGTGTCGGTGTACTTGAAGAAGGCTGTGTATAATAGTCCATAATATCGATACCACAGGGATGGAATATCTCATTTAGATACCACTTTTAGTATCGATTTATATCTAGGTATCGATTTTTTTGACAACACTACAGCGAACCACTTCATATTCATGTTTACAAAATATTTACAGCTATACTGGTGTTAGAACAAAAGACATGAACACGTTTTCAAGCTAGATTGTTATGCAGATTTGCCATTGTAGGTTTAAGTAATGATAGTTCTATGGTTGATACCGAACATGTTTATTAAGTTCTTTGTACTGAATACTTCCCACATAAAGCTATTTCTGCAGTTTCATTCTTGACAGTTTTAGTACCTTCCAGAATCCTCGCAGCCACACACACTCTCTCTCTCTGGAGGTGCATGTTCTAAGTATCACTCTTGTAGCTACAAATTTCCTTTTCTCTGGTCGTTTGTACCAGCGCTAACAGCACGTCTTCCCGAGCTGCCCGAGTAAATTTTGGGGGGGTAATTTTTTTTTAAATTCTCTTCAGTTGTTAAAAAACTTACTATAGCAACAAAACCTCACAATACAAACTGATGGGTACGCACAACATCCGGTATCTCACGGATGTTGCTTGCATCAGCGTTTCTCCATGAGGCTACTCAAAAATAAGGTGGATACAGGTAGCAGAGACCCACATAGCAGCAGTGAAGGATGCGTAAAGTGAGTTTAGCATATGTCCTCTTTAACGACGGGGAATCATTTGTAAACCACCAGATTAAAAAATCAATAGCTATTCATTTCCAAATTTTACTGAAAACATTTTAATATTTACACTAAAATAATGTAAAAGGTGACATTTAAATGTTAACTGGTTGTTAATGGCTAAAAATAGCTGTTTTTCAATGTAGTGCTTTACAAATGCCATCCCATAAAGGTCCTACCACCTACCTTCCTCATCTTTTATTTCCTTTTTCAGGTACTAAGGATAGAAGTTCATGTCAGTGCCAAAACTATCTGAGCAAATCTTAATCATTAGCAGAGCAGCCACATTTAGAAACCGTAGAATCTGACTTACACTTAAGAAAATAGAGCTGCCACCCACGCAAAATTAAATTACAGCTATCCCATTTTTGTTGTTTTAACAATATAATATTCATGTTTGTACAGTATTAGATTGCACTAACATAAATATGTATGTTGTAACATGATCTATTGTAAGAACATAAAAGCTATATCATAAGATTAATAGTCATCACATAACATTTCGCTCTAATTTTATTTTGTACGAGTGACAGCTCCGTGGTGCTCTAATATTCAGTTTCAGAAGAGTCATCAGAAATAATCGCCTCATCTTAACCGTCAACGAGTCTGATAGATCCCATCATAACCACATTGTTTAGGACTTTTCCCTTAACCAACACTGAATTCAACAATGAATCAGATTATTACATTAGGCTTTACGGTCCTGGATAGGTTCTGGGGACACAGGGATGGGTTCTGGACCAGTCCTCTAAAGGATGTCAGCAGGATGTTGTGGCTGTTAAACACCGCCGAGTGTTTGCAGTTAGAACAGGACCTCATCAACTGTTCCATCATCAGAACTCAGAGTTCTGGAGAAGGCAAAAGAACGCTTTAGTGAGAGAACCAGAATCAGGTTTTAGCAGAACCTGCTTCAGCCTGAGATGACATGAAAATGTTATCCATGTCAGACTTGATTGGAACCGTTTTTACTTCAAGTTCTTGTCTTTTGTAATCCAGGTCGCTGTCTAAACATCTTATTTAATCTAATCTAAAATGTTCTGGCTCTGTGCCTGCAGTGTCCATCAAACAGTCAGTTTGAGTTTTGTCAGCTATTTATTTCATTACTCAGCAGTCGGTTATAGTTTCTGGACAAGTTCTGTTAAGAAATGAATTAAAAAACATCGTTTATAAAAGTGTCGAGTCAGCTTTACAGAAACACGCATGGAAACCAAACAGAGGTCCAAACCCGTTCCTCTCTAGACTACTTCAGATGCAGGCAGGAGTGTCCAAACAAACTGAGGAGCAGCGAGGGGGTGAAGGGAGGAGGAGGGGGAGGGCAGGAGGAGATGGTTAATATTGTGTTCTAGATCACATGGACTCCTACATCACGGACGTCACGTTAAACTAACTCCAGTTCTCCTGAATCCGACAGACACTTAAATAAGAAAACAGGAAATGAACACCAATAAATACACGGGTCACTGAGGAGGACAGAACCAGAACCAAGAGCTGGGGCATCCCACTCAGCACCAGGGACATGTGGAAGAGAGGGGTGATGGGAAGTTCAGCACAACGCCACATGGTACAGAAGGCAGGAGAGGACGTGTAGTCCAAGTCCCAGGTCCTCCAGAAGTCCGGATGGGTTCTCCAACCAGAAGGTTCTACATCGACACGTCCTACACACTACAGGAGCTTTATTAATATTCATCAGATAAATAAACCGGGTACTACAACAGTTCACTCAGCTCCCCTACGACCAGTCCAGGGGCTGGGTCGGAGACACAGGTCCATCAGAACATTAGCTCTGTTCACACACATGGTCTCATTAGTTACTGGTCTTCCCACACATAAAACATGAAGATTTTCACAATAAAGGTATGGAGAATGGAAACATTTGGACATAAAATCAGATTTTTATGTAACCAAAACTGATTAATTCGGAGTTAGAAATGAACTGTGTGGACCCCGACTGATTTGTTCAGACGTGGAAACGATTCCTCATTTAGAAAGTAGAAGTTTGATCCTACACAAAACAGAAAAATAAATGAGTTTTATTTTATAAATACTCGCACTTCCACCCTTGCACCCTTCAGCTGCGCGATCCCGACCAGGGGTGCGAGTGCGTAGGCTCTCCCGATTCTCAAGTGTGGAAGTTGATCACGCCCCTTTTGCAACATTGATCCGCAATTCATCCAAGTCCGCATCGAATTACCCACAATCCATTGCTGCGGGAGAACAGGCTCAAGGGCCGTTTCTGAAAATATGTATTTTCTAATGAAATTAGTTTGTTTTAGGATGATTAGTTGATGCTCTGAATGTTTTAGACAAAGCAGCAATAAATGTAAATGTATTTCTAATAACTGGTTGTTTGAAAGTTATTAATAAAGGTTCTTAAAAGTATCACAGTGACCAGCATCCTGGCATGCATTGCGATCGATGACACAATTAGAGCCCTGCACTGAAGCCCCAGGCCCTTGGGTCGGCCCGGCCCGGCCCGACGGCCCTCGGGCCGGGCTTCGGGCCAACCACTGTGTAATTACCTCAGACACGGGCCGGGCGCCTTTATTTTTAATCGAATTCATTTAAAAAAATTAAACACTTAAACCAGGGGTCGGCAACCTGTTCCCATCAAAGAGCCATTATTACCCGTTTCCCACAGTAAAGAAAACACTGGGAGCCACAGCAGCCGCGGCGTTGTGGGCGGGGCTTACCCTCAGACAGCAGAGCGCTGCTCACAACAGGTGACAGCAGCCGGTACCGGTCGCTCGTGTACGTCAAAGTTATCTTTCATAAGACGATAATCAATAAAACGATTTATATAAAGTGGATCCAGAAGTTGTAGCCCGTCTCTGCCGACAACATTTAGATATTTTTCACCCTGTTGGTGGTTTTACTGAGCAGGTGCCACTTTTGTCATACGTTTCTTTTTAAAAACATGTTTAGACTGTTCAGAATACAAATCCAGGCTCTGTCACGTTTGATTGTTGTAATTAAGCTTTGTAGGTGGGGAAGGTCAGAAAATGATCCGATCATTTTGTTTTTCCCTCATTTACAGCGACGGAGACAACGGCGCAGTGCGCCTGGCTCTGGTGTTAATCAAGTTACATTTTATCTCTTTGCAACAATTTTCACAAGAAAACAGAACAGTGAAAAGCAGGACTTGTGTTGACCGGATAGTTCCCGTATTTGAGTTTATTTTGACGGAGAAAGAATAGAAAGAATTTCCCCAAGATTTCACTACCTCTGCTCCGCTCCGCCCCCGCCTTCCGCAGCCGCTCGCTTCCGAACTCAATTTTTACTGGTACCCGCTCTACAACGGCTCCACTCCGGTGCGGAGACCTGAGGTGCGCAAACAGGCATGCGCGGGATTTTTGAGATCTTGCGATACAGTCCGAGCAATGAACGCGGAAGTTAGATCCAAACACCCGTTATGTGGGAGAAGCATCGAAATTAACTGTTTAATCTGCCCATCATTTGTGTTGAGAGATCAGCAGCGTTTGGATCAACAAAGTGTGACTACTTTGATAGTGGAAACTGTATTTATGGCTTATTTTTGTGCATTTAAAGTTCAGCCGCCATTGATAGTTGTTAAAAGTTGTTAAACCTGTGCATATGAAACAAAAAATGCTTTTTGTTTATCGATTTATTGTGAAATAATGGAAGTTGTGCTTGCTCCTTTTCCTGTTGGGCAGTTGTGATTTCTGTCCATTGACTGCGGAGGCGCTGGCGGAACGGCGGGTGGCGCACTGCGCCGCACGGCCACAGTAGTGGAAAAGCTCTGATTGACTACAATGGGACCGATTTTGCTGCGGAGTTCGTGCCGGAGCGGAGCGGAGGTAGTGGAATTTTGGGGTTACCCCGACACATGCAGACGAACTGACACTTTATTCTACGCAAATCGCAGATGTAGCTAAATCACTCAAGAAAAGATTCCCATCTGAACATCTGAGCTGGACACCGCTCAGCGCATCTCGCTGTCAGCACGTACATAAGGTCCACAGCGAGCTGAAGATGTGGAGAGGGGCTTGGAGCGCGTCGCAGAACCAGAGCGCATGCGGGAAGATTCCTCAGACGGAATTCAGTCGGAGGAATCTTCCCGCTGATCTGAATCTGATGCGGCTCTCTGTGCTTGTAAAATAATGAATGGATATTTAAATAAAATGCTTTATATTTTTACTGCATTAATTTTATATCTGTAAGTCAATTATATGTAAAGATTGTCTGCGTAAACCTGAACAGGCCCAACCCGGTCTTACTGTGAGACCGGGTTGACGCGTCACGCTTGTGCGTAATCATAGGCGCTTCCTGAGCTGACGAGGATGTGAGATTCTGGGATTCTCCTCAGACGGCTCCTGGATGTGTCGCCACATTGGAGACAGGAACAAGCACTATTCAGCCAAAGTGTCATAATCAGGGAACATTTTCTAAGTGACAAGTCTCTCTGAGAGACCGGGTTTGGAAAACTCTCGCTTCAGTGGGAGGAACCTTCCCGCATGCGCTCTGGTTCTGCGACGCGCTCCAAGCCCCTCTCCACATCTTCAGCTCGCTGTGGACCTTATGTAGTACGCGCTGACAGTGAGCTGCGCTGAGCGGTGTCCAGCTCAGATGTTCAGATGGGAATCTTTTCTTGAGTGATTTAGCTACATCTGCGATGTGCGTAATGAATAAAATGTCAGTTCGTCTGCATGCGTCGGGGTAATTCTTTCTATTCTTTCTCCGTCAAAATAAACGGTCAAATACGGGAACTGTCCGGTCAACACAAGCCCTGCTTTTAACTGTTCTGTTTTCTTGTGAAAATTGTTGCAAAGAGATAAAATTAAACTTGATTACCACCAGAGCCAGGCGCACTGCCCCGTTGTCTCCGTCGCTGTAAATGAGGGAAAAACAAATTGATCGGATCCTGCACGTCTTTTAAACACATTGGTCAGAATTGACGCATTTTGTTTTCATTTAGTTGGTTAAAAAAAGTTGGGCTCGGGTCGGGCTGGGGCTCCACCCCCTCGGGCCGGGCCGGACACGGGCTCAGATTTTAGGCCCGTGCAGGGCTCTAGAGACAATGCTCCCTGTCTCAATGCGACAATTATTTGCACACTTGTGTACTACGCACTCAAAGCACTTCCTCCAAGTGCACTTTGCTGAAGACCACAGGGCGAGTATTGGAATGGGGTCTCTGTGTTGCCCAGCGATGGACTGGCAACTGTACAGTATCTACCCCGCCTGGCTACCCGGAGACTGCTGGAGATAGGAATCAGCCCCCCCGTGACCCTCCGAGGATAAGCGGCTAGAGAAAATGGATGGAAGGATAGTTTAAATGATTTCTAGATGAACTCATTTATATTTGCTGAATTTAGTGTTTGTGGTCAAACCAATGCAGATGTTGTTTGTGTTGTGTCCCGTGTTCCCTCCGGGTTTACAGAAGTAGCCCCTTGTCCTGAAACCAACTCCTCCTGTGGGAGTAAACTGGTTGTGTATGTGAATCCACGTGAGGCAGAGAAATGATAAGTGTTGTCTTATCACTCAGTCCAATCCAAGAATCATCTTTACTTTATGCTAATTCTTTTCCACGTGTAAACCAACATCTGGCTGATTATTCCTTAGCCCATTCAAACTGGATCTACTGTAAATGCCGTTCTTTAAACCCAGAGCTCTGTTGGCTCGCACTTGAACCTAAACATGTTCACAACTGACCCAGAAAAGTCTCCCGACAAGCATCAATAAAATACGAAAAAGATATAAAATAAAACAACCATTACAAAAATTAGGAAATATTTCAGTGAAGCTGAACAAGCTTCTTCGGATTAAACATTTTAAACGACAGTAAAAGTTGCTGCTGATAAAAGCAAATGTGAGGACCGACATCAAACTGAAACAGTAAACGGTTTTAGATGGGTTAAACAAGATTAAATGGGTTCAAATCTTTAGTTTTGTGTGTGCTCAGAAGCACAGCACATCCATCAGATGAGTTCATGTGTGTGAACAACAAAAGCGGAAGTGTTCGCTGCTGCAACACACACAGACACACACACATGAAGTCCCAAAGTTCCCATGAGTCACTGCTGCCTGTGGAAAGAACATGGATCAAACTCCACTCACGCTACGAGTTTCAGAGCGAAGACGGTTTAAACGCTGTAGAAGGCGTCCAGTGGAAGCAGCACAGAACAGGTCAGTCTGTCTCAGATCGGGTCGGGCTGTCACTGTGGGGGAGGGCAGCATGCAGCAAGGAGGAGGCGGGGCAAAAGCCAGTTTGCGTGTGTGTGTGCGTGTGTGTGCGTGTGTGTGCGTGCGTGCGTGTGTGTGTGTGTGTGCCTGTCCACACATAGTGAGGAAGAGGAGGAGAGGTTAGGCTATGATTTGGCACGTCCTTAACATGTGTCCCACCTCAGCCACCTCACCTAAATGAAGGCGCCGCCGGGCATGCCCAAAAAGCTGGGCGGAGCCAAGGGTGTGGAGCTGCTCCAGTGCACCTTCATGTGGTGCCTCAAGTTAGACTTGGAGGAAAACTGCTTATCACACTGCTGGCAGGAGAACGGCTTTTCCTTGGTGTGGATCCGCCGATGGCAGATGAGCTGCGTGGACACCCGGAACGACTTTCCACAGTCTGGACACTGGTAGCGTTTGGGCTCAGTGTGGATGCGCCGGTGGTTCTTCAGGGACATGAGGTTGGGGAACTCCTTCTGGCAGGAGGAGCAGAAGAAGGTCCCGGTCTTGTGGCTGTTCTTGTGGTTGAGGAGGGAGCTGGCATGGCGGTACGACCGCCCACACTGGTCGCACACATGGGGCTTCGTAATGTCTCTGCCACCTTCTCGCCCACGAGCTTTGGCCAAGCGGCCTGGGTTGAGTCCTTGTTCTTGCATCAAGGTCAGGTCCAGGCCCGACCCCCAGCCCAGCTCCTGGGACCCCCCCAGTTGGGGCTGCGGGTGTCTGGGCTGGCGGGGCTGTGGCATCTGGCCATGGCTGATCTCCATGTGGAGCCTGAAGCTGGCCTGCGTAGGGAAGGCTCGCTGGCAAGACCGGCAGGTCAGCTCCCGCTGTTTCTGGTGGACACGCCGGTGGTTGTAGAGCTGCGAGGAGACTCGGAAGGCCTTCCCGCAGTCGTGGCATTGATGGCGGCGAGTCTCGGAGTGAATGCGGCGGTGGTTCTTGAGGGCAAGCAGATTGTTGTAGGTCTTGAGGCACACGGCGCAGTGATAGATGCCAACGGTGTGGGTGTTCTTGTGATTGAGGAGGGAGCTTGCGTGGCGGTACGAGCGGCCGCACTGATCACATCTGTGCAGAGACAAATGGGGAGGAGCACAAGTGAGATGAGAGAGATTAGTGACAGGATATGTGACGTCACTTGTGAAATTTCATACAGTGAACATACAGGTATATGATCTGAAATCCGGCTCAGAGCTTTTACAAAGTGGAAAAGCTAACGTCACTGGGTATGTGGGGGGGTGGCTGTTGGGTGGGGTGTGGGGGATTAAGAGGGGGGACATGGGCAAACACCAGGGTGGAACCTGGGAGGTATCTGCTGCTCCCTGCACTGCACAGCTTTGTTCTTTAGAAGTTTCTTAAGTGTTAATGGAACAAACCCAAAGAACAGAACAAGCAGCCCTTAAGGATCAGGTCAGAACAACGGACGCATAGACCTGTGCAGTGCAGCTAGCTCCAAATACTCCCTGATCTTCCAGGACCAACATCAAAATGCAACAACCTGTTCCTGTTCTGCTCACTGACCATTAGAACAAACACAAAGAAAAGAAGACACAACATCAACAGCATGAGTCAGCTGTCACACAAAAACATGGAAACACAACATGGCAGCCTAGAAACTACAGTGTGTGTTAAATGCTAACTGGAAGCAAACAGGGAGGACTTATCTGGTCTCTAATTCAATCTGTCCAAACTTCTGAAAAATCCGAATTCCGGCACGCGTATGGTCCCAAGGAAGCCGGATTGGAGATCATATACCTGTAATAGACACGTAGACACCTAAATTCATCTCCACTATGTTTTTTCAACTTCGAAAATTCACAAACAACTGACGAGAACTCACGTGTACCGACACTCTTCCTCCCCCGCAGATGCAGCGGCCTTCCTCCTGACCTCCATGCCTACCTGGTTGTCCCCGCAGCGATGACGGGCCAGACCGGACCTCCCCTGGAAACTCTTCCCACAGCTGGGGCAGCCGAACGGGGTGGCACCCTCCTCGTGCACCTTCTGATGGTTGCGCAGGAACCTGGCCAGCCGAAAGGCTTTCCCACACGTGTGGCAGATGTGCTTCTTGCGCTGTGTGTGGATACGCATGTGATTTCGCAGTGCCATATAGTTGGTGTAGGGTTTGTCACAAAAGTTGCAGCGGAAGTCGCCAGTCTTGTGGGTGTGCTTGTGGTTAAGCAGAGAGCTGGCATGTTTGTAGGTGCAGGTGCACAGGTCACAGGCATAGGGTCGCTCATCTGAGTCCAGGTCCACAGGGTTTCTCTCCATGCTGATGTTGGCAGAGCTGCTGCTGGTGGTGGATGACGATGAAGGCAAGTGCTGGGCCGGGCAATCATGAGCTGAAAGCGCATCAGCCGTGGCAAAACCTTCACAGCAGCCATCGCATTCAAAGTCCATCTGGGCCCCGGGGCCCTGTGGTCCTTTGCAGAGGCCAGCTGTAGTGTGGGTGGCGAGCTGCCTCTGGGTGCGGAAGCCTTTGCCACACTCTTGACAGTTGTGCTTCTTCTGGGCAAAGTGGAGGCGGAGGTGGTTCTTCATGGCCAGCCGATTGGGGTAGGTGGAATTGCAGACATTGCAGTGGTACTCCCCAATTTTGTGAAGGTTCTTGTGATTGGCCAGGCTGCCAGCATGGCGATACGTCTTTCCACACTCCTCACAAGCAAAAGGTCGCCGCCCAGTTTCAGCAGGGTCAAACTTCTGGGGCCTGGAGGTGCCAGCAGATGAATAGGGCTTCTTAAAGCCCTGGTGGCTGTACTTGACCCCCATCATAGTGCCCTTCGACGAGTCTCCTCTTATGGCCTGCATTTGAGATGGGCCAGGCTGCTGGAAGCGAGAAACGTTGGGACCAGTTCGGACAAGACCTTTGGCTCGGTGCTCCTCATGAAGACGGAGGTGGTTGATGAGCTGTTTTTGGATCTTGAAGGCTTTGCCACATTCTTCACACTTGTGCCTGCAGCAGGATGAACATATTTGAAGGAGAGACGAAAAATATGTTTTCTCTGTTTCTCTGAAACGTATATCATTTCTATTAACAAAGCTAAATCAGAACGAATCTCATAATTATGTAACATTCATCAGGGATCTGTCCACTGGACCCTGCTGTTGTCTACCTGCAGAGTTGACAGAAATTTGCTAATCTCAACAAACTCTCTCAAATACACACAATTTTAAAGAATTAGATAAAAGATTTAAACAATATAACATAAAAAAAGATTTAAATACATGTATGATAAGTGCCACAGAGAATGATAAAACTCAAAAGTAAACTGGGAATGATGTGACACCTAATTGTTTAATAATAACCGTTTAAAGGTTCGTTTGTCCTTTTACTTCTCCCCAGACTAGGCTGCAGAAGAATTGTGACTTTTATTAAAGGTGTCGAGACGTACCTACAGAACCATCTATACATCCTCTACCCCCAAAAAGTCTTTATCCATCCAAGCATTTACTGCACTTCTAATATGAGAACCCTTTACAGCAAATAATCAGCAGCATGTCATATGCATTTAAGATATACACACCAGTGTCCAGTCATTCATACAATTCCTTCTGCTTATCCAAGGTCACCACAACAGATAAATGCCTCTATTAATGCAGATGAATCCCCAATCCATCAGGCCATCTCTGCTTCATCCTACCATCACCACACCAAGATACCAGAACTACTCTTTTGAAGGCAGCTACTCCCTCCCAAAATGTATGAAATGGTAGACCTGTTCCTGTTATTTGATGATTTATATATGGAGTAAACAATTTAGCAAATTTTTGGAGTTTTTCCAAATAAAATATTCTTTCATAAATTTTGCTACCAAATATCTGTGAGGCAATAAACCACAATAACCACATAAACTGTCAAGGTTTGTTCACAAATAACATTTTTCATTAAGAACTAAAAACTAAACCAAACTTGACTTCATGGAGGAACCTCATCGCTTTACAAACATTGACCAGTTCAACACAACGTCGGAGTTTGATGCTACAGTTTTATCTGAACAGCTTCTGAATTGACGTCCCAAAGTAGAGATGTATATCCACAGTGCACTGCAGTTCAGCTGAAGAAAAACAGCATTCAGCACAAGAACAGAAAGTTGATGGTTTAGGGTGATTCTGTAGTCAAATGAGCCATCCTTTCTATAGTCCAATTTGAGATGATCTATCTAACAGCTGAAACTTTGCCCAAACTATGTCATGAAAGGGAACCATGATCCACACAAGGCAGCAGATATACAACAGAATCAAGGTGCTGCAATGGTCTAGTTAGACCATACCTTTACTGAAATGCTGTGGTATGTTATCTTCAGGGAGCTAAACAAAATCTAATGTCTGCAAGCCTCAAGAAAACTGGACTAGAACTCCTCCAGAAGCATAAGAGAGACTAATCTGATCAGATAGTTACTGCTGCTGATGGAGGTTCCAGAAGACCAGTAGGTGGACTCCGTTTTTTCACTAGTTCTGGTTTATGGTTAGCCGAATGGTTTGGATAGTCCTTGATTGCTTTGCCAAACTCTTCCTATGCCTGAGACTTTTTCTTAGCAATTGCTGCTGTTGCACACAACTTGGCTTTTTGCTACTTGTCTGCTGGTGATGGACACCCAAAGACCAGCTATTATGTTTTACACCATTTTACTACACTAAAAACATGATTAAAGCTGAAAATAAAACAAACAAAAAAATGACTGTGGGTACCTGCTGTCAGCTTTGAGTTTCATTCAGTGCATTTATAGCGCATCTAATTCAATCTAGGACATTCTACAGCAATAAACGGAGCCATTATCCTAGTTTACATGCATGTTAGAAAACCAAACTCTCAACTGAAGTGCATTCCACTCCGTTATGGTAGATGGCAACATGCACCCTTTCATGTCAGTATTCTTCCAGTCAGTCTATAGCAACACAAATAGTAAACAAATGCTGGCAGGATTGAAGCAGACAGAGTAAAACAGGATATGCACAATGACCAAAGGAATGGACAACAATGCTGCAGCACAGCTTACTTGGTACATACTGTACGGTTTGATGGCGTACATAACATTGGGGTGATATTATCAGAAGACGGCTTTCATGGTCTCATCACTTCCAAAAGTCGAGTGCCCAACCAGTCATAGCTCGGCTCAGCCATTTACATGCAGAGGAATTCGGGTTGCTACCGTATTATCTGGGTACTTCAGCTTGATTAGAACCAGTTGGCCTTCAGCCAGACTAGCGCATTTACATGTATTTAAAAAAAACGTCAGTATTTAAGGCAATAGTTTGCTTTATTAATGCGCATGTAAACGCACTGACTGTGTGCAGACTAACGCTTTAATAACAAGTAGAATGAAATTAGATACAGACAGGAGCATACCTCTTCAAGTCGAAGTGGGTCCTTTGGTGATTCTTCAGAGCCAGTAGGTTGTAGTAGCGTTTCTGGCAAACTAGGCAGCGAAAAACTCCCGTTTTGTGGGACTTCTTGTGATTGAGGAGTGAACAGGGGTGTCTGTATCCTCGTCCACATTGGTCACACTTGTGAGGTTTGTCACTCTGGTCAACCATTTGCCTGCGACCATCACAACCATCACTGCTTCCTCCAGCAGCCCCATCCCCTCCTGACATACTTTTGCCTCCATGGTGGCTCGACTTGCTCAACGAGCTAGCTCGGTTCTTTCCGGGGCACAAGTGAGTCACTAGGTGGTGGTGGTCTGCAAAGAACATGCCACAGTCAACACAGATGTGGCTCCGTCCATTGGCTGAGCCAACAATAGCCTGGTGCTGACTGTCCGACCTCTGGGGGCCGTGGATTAACTGGTGATTCAAAAGGTCCTGTTTCCTGGAAAAGGTCTGGCCACAAGTGGAGCAAATCATCCGCCAGTCCTGCTCCATGTTTGATGGTCCAGGTCCTGTTGGGTTATTGGCATGGCTGCGCAAGTGGCTCCTCAGAGCTCGAAGACTGGCGTAATGGTTGCCACATATAGAACACTGATAAACTTCTCCATTATCATCATCCTCTTTGTCGTTGCTGCCAATTCTTTTTCCTCCACTCTGGGAGTAGGGTCTCTGGCTGCTGCCTTCCTTCATACTGCCAGAGTTCCCTGAGGACAATGAGGTCCCACCAGAGCTGTGGTAGTTCATGTTCCCCATAAAACCATTGGACAGGTTGCCCTGCTGCTGCTGTGACTGTGGTTGCTGCTGGGTGCGGCGGGGGCACATGTGAGACTTGATTCCTGAAACATCTCCGTACATCTCACCGCAATCTGCGCACACGTGTCTGTCTGCCTGGCGATGAGCAGAGCTGCTCTGGGACAATGAGCTGCCATCAAAGCGATCATGGAACTCCAGAGAGTCCAATCCACTGCTGTGGCCTCCATCAGGCACAAAATGGGCGGCTTCCCCGAGGTTTCCTGACAGAGAGATTGGAGTGGTGGCACCACTTCCTTCCTGGACATAACTCTGCTGAGAGTCCAACGTTAGCGGCTCAGAAGATAGCCAGTCACTGCTGTCATTGCCAATTGGTTGGTTGGATGGGCGGCCCTTGTGACTACGCAGGTGGCTGTGTAACGCTGCAAGGTGAGGGTACTGTTTGCAACAGATGGTGCACTGGTAGTGGCCTGTCTGATGGCAGCGTTTGTGATTAACCAGGCTCCCTGCATGCCGGTAACTCTTGCCACACTCTCCACACTTGAAACGACGCTCGCCATCATCTGGAGAATTGGCCTGAGGTACACGGCCACCAGAGGGTGATGCAACCGAGCCCTGTGATCCAGATCTGAGAGTGTCAGAGTTGAGGATAGAGCTGTCCTGGCTGTGAGAGGGTGGGTGAGGATCGTGGGTCAGATAGTGGACCTTTAAAGTCTCTAGGTCAGGGTGTCCTGCCCCACAATATGCACAAGTGTATATAGGGTTGTTGACTGGGGGCCCCATTATGGGGTCATATGGGCCTCTTTTTTCAGTGGGCAGGGGTGGAAGGGGCAGAGGATCTCCCAGGGCTGGAGTGTACGCTGGAGACCGTACTGCACTCAGGTTGTGAGGCATGATGCCAGGGAAGCCGCGTGGCAATCCAAGCGAGGATGGGGCTGTATTGTGCAGCAAGATGTGCTCCTGGAATTCGGCCTTCGTTGGCAATGATATCTGGCAAAGGTGGCAGAAACAGGAGGTGGAGCTGCCGCTCTGAGAGGATTGTGCGCTGGTGTTGCGTTCAGAATTGTGGTGGCTGCTGCCACCACTTCCGCCACTTACCATCGATGCCCCTGGCGTCTTGAACTTTGAGTGAGTTCTCTCGTGGCCGTTTAGGGCAGCCAGGTTGCTGAACTGTTTGAAACACACAGAACACTTAAAAGTTCCCTGCTGGTGACACTTCTTGTGGTTCACCAGACTTCCGTGGTGTCTGTAGGTACGGTCACACTGGTCACACTTAAAGGGCCTGTCCCAGGCGTTGTCAGATTCAGAGGAAACTTTTTTACCGTGTTCGTCTGTCTCGTGGCGAGGCAGGACACTATGTCCCATGCCACTATTGTTCAAATGGGAGCGACCAAACCCGTCTGAGAGGTCCTGAGCCAAGCTATAGTTTCTCTCGTCGTGGCCTGCCTCCTCGGGCGTTTCCTCGTTATCCTCCTCGGCGTGTGCACTGCTGGGAGACAGAGTATGGATCCGAAGGTGGTTTTTTAAAGCTACTGCGTTGGGCAGCGTACGCGTACAAACTGGACACTGGAAAGAGCCAACTTCGTGAGACTTTTTATGATTGGCTAGACTTGCGGCGTGCTTGTAAATGCGACCACACTGCTCACACTCAAATCTTCCACTTTCTTCCTGCTGATAATGTGCTTTCATATGCTCTAAAAGACTTGGAGTACTCGGGCAGACCATATCACATTCTTTACAGGGGAAACCCTTGGCTCGACTCATATCATGCATTGCCATAGTACTCTACAGCACAGCCGGGGGTGGGGGGGTGGGGGTGGGGGGGGGGGTCACGGTTCACAAAGAGCAATGAACAGTGATGAAGGGGTGGGATGGAGGAGGATATAGTGCTGCTTTGTTCTTTAGTAGAGGGTAGTGGCCATGTTCACCTCCAGTACAGGGCAAGTCAATCAGGGCCCGCCTTGGAGGGTGGCGGGCCTAGAGGGGGGGTCACACCGGCCAATGGGGTTCCACTGCGGGGAAGAAAGAACAGAGGAACACATTAATAACTCAAATACGTATTACTGTAACATTTAGACTCTGACATAAAAGTTAACACATTTTTTGCACTAAAGTAAAAATGCCAACAAATATTTCATTGTACATTGAATCAATTTTAGGAAATTGTTTTCCTTGCAGGTTCTAACCATCATTTAAAAATTCAAGAACATTCATGCTGCATGCACACACTAAACATTAAGCTCATACATGAGACAGGATGCTATAAATTTGTGAGTGCAAGAACAAGTTGTGATAAGGACTTGAAGGTTTACTTGGAAATGGGGTTGCAGGGATTAACCGGTTGAACTATTATCCACGGTAAAGACGTCTCCAGAAATGCCTATAAAAAACTGAAAGACAATAGTGCAACCCGCACAGACAAAGACAAATGTGAAACTGAACGCGCGCACGCAGCAGAAGCAGAATCAGTGACAACAACCATCAAGACTACTCCATTTCCACCTAGAAAGCGGTTGAAGTCTCCTGTGTGGGAATATTTTAAATATATTGGATATATTCCCACACATATTCTTCAATTGCTTCCTAGGTGGAAATGGAGCAGTACCGGTGGGTTTTGTCACTTTTTCTGCTTCTGTTGCATGCGCATGTTCAGTTTCACTTTTGTCTTTGTCCGTGTCGGTTTGTTTTTTATAGGCAGCGTTGGAAACATCTTCATGGTGGGTTAACTCGGGTAATAGTCAAATTGGTTAATCCCTGCAACCCTAGTTGGAAACAAATGGAATTTTCTTGATATCCTTGGTGATATTTCGTCTCTCATCCAATAAGCTTCTTCAGTCATTAAACTTGGGTTGGAAGTAGGGGGCTTATATGGTGTTGTGTGAAACAAACTTGCTGATAAAGCATTAGGAGTAGCTGGTGAGGCCACTGTATCAAGCAGATATGTCAGGCCTCTGGCAAAGCATAATCATGAATATGTACTCAGTACTTGGTTTGGGCCCAATTAACTGAAATAAATTAACTATTAAAAAATATTCTAACAAAATTTACAAAGCAGGTTAATAAAAAGAAATGTCATTTGACAATAATGTTTCAAAGCATTTATTAAGCAGATGTTTTTCATGGATGTAATTTTATTTTTAAAATAAAACTATTACAACTTTAAAATATAAAGAAAAACTACTGAAAAATATGCATCCATAATAATTTAATAATCAATAATGTTGAAAACACAATAGCAAACTGCTAAGAAACATTAACAACATCTAAACAACGTTCAGTCTATTTTGCTTCATAATAGCAAATCATAACATATTCATGTAAACTATAAATGGAACATTTTAGCATGCTTAGCAGCAGACTCTGTGAGCCTGGAGATGAGGAACTCTCAGGTGAATCCACTATTTTTTTTTTTTATATATAGTTTTCTTTATCCTTTTCAACTCCCAAGCTCACCAGCCACCTGCTGGTTTTACATCTTTACTTGGTGTTGGCTTCATGAAATGCTGGATGTGACTTTTGTTGAGTCAACAGACAGAAACTAAACAGGAAAAAAAAGTTGTTAGTATTTTATAGTGCATTTATCTACAAATCAATATAATCATAAGTATAATAAACACTAAACATCTGAACAAACACACATTATCTGTTGTAAATAAAAGTGCACCCAAACTATCCATATCACTGACTGTTGATGTTAGATGTAATGTGAAAATGAACAGTTTGTAAAGTTGACTACAAGATAGTTAATATTAAACCAATAAAACAAAAGGCTGGTTACAGAAGGTTCTCACGACTCGTTTTTTTCTTCCACTCCTTGAAGCAACAGTTCATATTTTACTCTTGAAACAAACTAAAAATATGGCTATAGGGTATTGAAATATCAGAAAAGGTGCCTTACCTTTTACTCCAATGAAAATACTCCCAAAATTTGGCTGCAACACTGGGCTATCCACGGATGGGTCTGACTTTAATTCGGCTCTAAGGTGCTAATCATTTGTTGCAGATAGATTTAAAAATGCTAAATATTGACCCCATTTATTGGTTGACCTCTAGTTTGAACACATTAAATAACACCAACTATTTAAACTTAATCCTCTACCTAATCAGTCACATGAAGAAACGACAGATAACTGCTAGATCTGCTAGAGGAGCCTAGGATACACAATTGTAAGGGATTGTCTATTACAGTTTCTTGTGTTTCAATCTGAAATAAAAAATATAAACTGTTAACTTCACCGCCGTAAAACAGTTTAACTTCTCATTAGAAGCCGATTGATATGGGTTTTTTTTCTAAAGGCAGATGCCGATAATGATTTTTAAAGAATTTTGTTGCTGATGGCCAATATCTTAAGTAGATTATTAAGGTCGATTTATATACGTTTTAGCAGCACACTGATTGTGGAAGACAACTGAACACTCACTGAATGTAATTAAATAAGTCAATAAATCTCTTAATATTTAATACAAATATTTTAAGCTAGGGCTGCACAATATATCGAAAAATTATCGTCATCGCGATAACAGGACGTGCGATAGGCCCATCGCAAAGCACGTCAAAAACAGCGATAAATGTTTGGTTGAAACATTTCCATCCGTGTCATACATCAACTTATTGTAAACCAGCTCTGTTTTTTACGTGGAAGTATTATCTGACCAATCAAATGTAGCCCTTCTGATACGCGACCAATCAGATGGGTCCGTTCACGTAATACGCCCGCCCCCTACGTAGACCCTTAGGATGGGTGGAAAGCAACACCTGAACTGAGTTAGTGGCGCCGTTCCCTTGTTCGTCATGCTGGCTCAGAGCAACGAACACACTTTGTGCTGAGGTTTCTGGAATCAGCGCTGCTTTCAAACGTGAACGTGAGTCCGCTCGGTGTCGTTAAGCAGCTGATAATAACTGGGCTGACTCCGACACGTGCCGGTGAACCAACCCACCTTCATGTCGCTAGTGTTCCACCGGGTGGTAATGTTAGCCCCAGGCTCCAGTTAGCTTCCAGCTAAAAGGCTACAGCACTCTCCTCCCAGTCCCACCCTGCTAAAGAGGGCCTGGAAAAGTTCCCCCACACATCAAAGTGATTTTTCATTTATGAGCGTTTATAACCTTGTTAATCAGGATAGTTGATTTGCTGCTGCACATAAACTGTCAGTCAGAAGCTCTGCTAGCCGGTTATCTTAGAGGAGCTAGTTCAATTAGTTAGCTTGTTATCAGAATCATAGTTGCAGTTTCATCATCTGAGCTGCTTTTTAAGATCTAGGTAAACTTGTTCAATTTGGGGTTAAAAACAAACGTTTTCACATATTTTCCATGTAGTTTTTTGCCAGTTCCTCTTCTGAAAGGTAGACAATTGTTTTTCTCTTTCCCTCAGAAAATCTTAATGTTCTCCTAGTTTGGCCCAGCACAGTTCACTTCCCAGTTACAGCAACAGCGTTATATCATAACCACATAAGTGGAGAAAATGCTCAGTAGCAATGAGAGAATTTGCTGTTGCATGTAAGTGATGTTAACTATTATTTAACATTTAAACTTATTTTCTGATATTTTTATTTATTCTAAAAACCCTGGTAAGGGATGTTTTTCTGTATTTGGAGCATCAGAAAAAGTTTTATGGTGGAGGTGATGTTTTAAAGACACTGAGAAACTGCATGCATGCAGTTTGTTGTTTTGCTGCTAATACAGTAGCAGGTGCAGCTGCTAATACGGTAGCGGGTGCAGCCGCTAATACAGTAGCTGGTGCAGCCGCTAATACAGTAGCAGGTGCAGCCGCTAATACAGTAGCTGGTGCAGCTGCTAATACAGTAGCAGGTGCAGCTGCTAATACAGTAGCAGGTGCAGCTGCTAATACAGTAGCAGGTGCAGCTGCATATTTTTGCAATAAAAATGTTATGTTGTAATGGAATTCATGCATTAGTTTTTGTTTGCTTTGAACCCAGAGCAGACGTCACACGCCAGACGACATCAACACTGCATACTTTAGTATTTGTTCATTTATCGTGAGTAATATCGATATCGCAATATTAAGCACTGTTATCGAATATCGCAGGTTTTCCTAATATCGTGCAGCCCTATTTTAAGCTACTTTTTCAAATATTACCTAAAATTTGTGTTGCTTAATGGTTACATAAAAAAAATTTAAATCAGCTTTTTTGTGCTTTTTCCCATCTGATATTGTCATTGTTCGGGATCGGATGAAGACCTACCACAGCCCAACACAGCAACTTCATCACTCCTTGACCTTCTGTGGTGAATTTATAGCAACCTATAATGTTTGGGTGAGTTGTCAAAGTTTAAGGGCCTGGCTCCGCCCCTTCAACATTAACCAAAACTCACAATTTTAACAACTTAAGATCTCCCAGATCCAACCCCAGTCAAAATCTCTAGGAGTTCACTCAAATGTGAACCCTACAAATGACCAAAACTGGCATTTTTGATCAAATATGGCTGACTTCCTGTTTGTTTTACGACATGAGTGCAGGTGACTTTTATGTGTGGCTTGGTAAGTACTAAAGTGTAGCAAATTTCATAACTCTACTATAAAAAAGGTCAGAGCAGATACAATAAGCCTTCGCTGCTTAGACCTTATAAAATGCTGCTTGGAAATGACCAAGATCTTTAGACGTAGACAGACACAAAACATTTAGCAGAAAATAACAATAAAAAAAAATGTATTTGCTTCCGCTTGCTAAATAAATCCCTGTCCACACCAGGAGTAAAACTGTCGTCATCACATGGCAAAATTAGATGAAAGGTAGACACTAACCACTGGACCACCACAGCCAAATCAACAGTTAACTTACCTAAAATAAGCTATTGTAGGCTCATTTTGTGGTTCTGTTAGGTTGAACTGTAGCTACAGAGCCACCTTCTACATCTACAGCATTACCATTATTGTCTTATTTTATTACATTTCATTTTGAAACTCTTTTTAAACGGAGAAGGAAGTGACGCCACCATCAGCGTCAGCCTGAGGAAGTTTGCAGCCACAAACGAAACATAAGAGGGAAAACAGGT